TGGATGATGGCATGAATCGCCTTCAAGTCCTCGTTGAAGAGCGAGGTATGGCTGCTGTCCCGGGGGCGGAGAATCCGGGTGATGATGTAGAGGAGGAGGCGCTTGTCCGGTGGGGCCGAGTGAATCGTCGGTGCGCCGCTGTGACGGATGAGGTTGGTGATCCCAAGCTCTCGGATGACCACCGCCTCGTTGTTGAGGATCCAATCATCGCCACCATAGGTTGCGATGTCGTCACCGCGGATGGGCAGCCCTGCGACCCGAGCGAAGGTAGGCAAATCAATCTCTATGTCGTAGAGATTGATGCTGCTGCGAATGGTGTCCCCGTCACGGCGGAGATTGGAATAGAAAGCCCGGAGAAAGGCAGGATTGAAGCTCGAGCGGCTCTTGGAGACGAATGGCCACAAACCCGACGCTTGGAGTTGGTTGTCGAGGTCGTGGTACCCTTTGTCTTGGGGAAACAACTCCGGGAGCACGCGAGGTGGAGAGATCGGGCGCTTGGCAAAGTGAGTGAGGAAGCGTGTTAGTTCTTCCTCCGACCCGAACTCAAGAAATGATCCATCCAAATATGGGAACGGAGGAGGCGCGGAACTTGAGGGTTCGGCGGTGCTTTTCTTCTTGGAAGCCTTAGACTTTGATCTTCCTCCGGCCATGATTAAGGCGTTTTTGAAGAAAGACTGAAGAAATGTTGAGATTAGGATCAAGGAATGAAATTATGATGTTAATGGTGTATTAGAATGAGAAAATATGAGGGATATATATAGGGAAAGGGAGATTAGGCCGTTTGGATTTAAAAATATAGCTGTTGGGCAATTAATGTGGTGCCCAACGGCTCTGAATTTTTGAAATGCAGGTGCCTTCCCAGCGATGGTAGGATCTACCCATCGATGGGAAGGTCGCCACTGGAAAGCAAGGAAGGACCCAAGGCTGCCTTCCCATCGATGTTTGCATCTTCCCATCGATGGGAAGGTGGCTTCTGGAAAAGAGAACATGGCCTTCCCAGCGATGTTAATACCATCCCATCGCTGGTTTGGTATTTTTGCAAATCCGTTAAAGAATTTTTTTTTAAAAATAGTGTCAAATACCCAGCGATGGGAGGAACTTCCCATCGATGGGTTTGGAGGTTCTGAAACAAAAACAGGAACTCACCCAGCGATGGGATAAACTACCCATCGATGGGTAAAGGCGTTCCGGAAATCTGTTAAAAAATTTAAGTCAAACACCCAGCGATGGGAGAAAGTTCCCATCGATGGGTTGGGAGGTTCTGAAAAAAAAATTTTGATAAAAGTCCTTCACCCAGCGATGGGACAAAGTACCCATTGATGGGTTATGGTGTTCTGGAAATCCGTTAAGTATTTTTAAAAAAATTAGAGTCAATTACCCATCGATGGGAAGAAGCACCCATCGATGGGAAGAGGGGTTCTGGAAAAAAAGAAACTTCCCTCCCAGCGATGGGATGTCCTACCCATCGCTGGTTCCCCTTGATTTCCAGAATTCTTCACTTGGAACCGTCCCTGCAAAAAAGCATAACACTTTGGTACCCAAAGTATGTCTATGGGTCCTTGGGGGTTAGTTGACCTTTATTGCCCACACACACACCCAAAATTCACACACACACACAATTAAATGATTGTTTAGGAGTTACCTTGGCCAACCCATTGTCTAGTGGTTGGCGGGTTCCAGTCTACCCGAACGGAGTGCCGATATCTCGGTGTGGTCTGTGTTGGTTCCGGTAACGGAATGTGGACTTTCTTCTTTTCGTCAAAGTAGAAGAAATAATACAGTTTCTTTTGTGCACTATCCTGTGGAGATTGTTTATGATTTGAATATCCTTTTCCAAAGGATTTCATTTCATTAGCACCAAATACGTTGTGTGTTTCATTGTAGGTGAAGTGCCTATGTCTCGTGAAACACACGGGAGCTATATGTCCTACTCTATTACAATAATGGCATACTACGTTTGGGTTGAACATATGCCTAGGTTGATAATAGCTGGGGGGTCTGACCATATTCATCCTATTTTGCGAAAGCATTGGTTTTTGAAAATTCTCTCTTCTAGGTGTCCTAGCATTATTTTGTTTATTTGAAAAATTATGATTTTTATGCACAAATTCATTTTGATAATTTTTCTTAAGTTGTCTAACATGCACATTTTCATTCCTAGGTTGTCTAGTGTCCTTAAGTTGACTGGATTTTCTATTATCCTGATTTTTAACTTTCTTGCGTTGAGCCTTAGTAGGTTGTCTAGGTGTATGCTCAACGTTTTTATCCTTAGATTCATTTTTATCAAAACCTATTCCTTCCTTAGAAAAGTGCATAGTGTCTAGGAGTAAATTGAGATCCTTGTGTGGTGTATTAAACTTCTTCACCGTACTCTCAAGTTTTGCAACTTTTTCTTTTAAAGCTTTGCAAGATTCACATTCACTTGAAGAGCTTTTCGGTTTGTCAGCACTTCTTTTACCATAAAATTTATTTTCTTGTTTCAGCTTTTCATTATCTTTTTCCAGTTTTTCAAAATCATTTTCAAGAGTTGAAAGACGTTTCTTTAATGATTTGTTGGTTTTAGAAGCGCTAACAAATTCATCATAAAGCTCTCGAAGAGCTTCTTGCATTTCTTTAAAAGTGTAAGAGTCGGAAGAAATGGCACATACCTCTTGTTGATTGTTGGTTTGGTCTTCGTGTGCCATGAGACAAAGGTTGGCAGTTTCATCCTCGTCTTGGTCAGTTGACTCGTCGCCGGAGTCGCCACCCCAAGAGATATATGCCCTTTGCCTTTTGAAGTGCTGAGCATTCCTTCCGCTTTTCGGGCATTTGTTCTTGATGTGCCCGGCTTCACCACATCCATAGCACATAGGGCCATCCTCAACCTTTTCTTTCTTCCTTAGATGTTTACAAAACTTCTTCATGACAAGCTTGACTTCATCATCGTCACTTGAATCATCCATCGTTGGTTCTTTGACGACTTTTAATGCTATCCCTTTCCTTTGGTCATTCAAAGACGGGTTAAGAATAGTAGATTCATAGGTTTTTAGATTACCTCTTAGACCGTCGATAGTGACATTTGATGTGCCGATTGATTCATAGATGGCATCGGCCTTGGATCGCCATTCGGATGTCAAGCTCCGTAGGATCTTTCGCACAAGATCCCTGTCGGTGTATGTCTTCTTTAATGTATGGAGATCGTTGACTATCTTGGAAAAACGGTCGAACATATCATCGATCTTCTTGTGCTCCTTCATCTTGAACATCTCATATTCTTGGGTGAGGAAGTCAATCTTCGCTTCACGTACTTGGTCCGTTCCTTCATACGTCACCTCAAGTTTATCCCACATCTCTTTGGCGGTTGAGCAGCAAGAGATCTTGCGGTAGTCATCAGGATTTACGGCACAATAAAGCATGTTTATTGCTTTTGCATAATTCTCGACCTTTTTGATGTCCTCGGCATCAAACTCGTCTTCGGTCTTAGGGATCAACTTGTCTCCGACTTTCTTCATCGGCACCTCTTCCCCGTTTTTGATAACCAACCATAATTGGAAGTTCGTGGAACGAATATAGATTCTCATTCGTTCTTTCCAATATGTATAATTGGTTCCATC